TGAACAAAACCTTGTTTCTTGCATTATGTATTAAGTGCCTTATCTAATTTTTATACTGAATAAACCATTTTGCCTATAAATTAGTATTATTTGTCTTTTCAGGAGATTATTGCCATTACCTGTTCATGGTGTAAGTTAGCTTACCACAATAAAATTACTTGTTTCATGATGTGCTACTTTGAAGAGCAATGCACCCTGGGAATCCACAGTAATATCATTATTCCTCCATCTTGGATTATAAAACTGCCAAGAAAGGTAAGATAATGGTTGTATCTTAAGTATTTTTTTACCTTCTTTTCATTAGAATTTATTATTGTCTTTGTAACTCAGTTTACAAAAAAAGACTGTTGTAATAATTTTTTTTCTAGAAACTGTTTCTTTTGCTTAATTTTATGTAATATTTATCTCTTTGTATTCTTTATTTTTTAGACATAGTATCTTTTTTAAAGAAAATCCTGTCTATAATAAATATGTATTTCTGCAATATTTTACTTTAATTTTACAAAAAATCCGATACAGTTAATCCCAAAAATAAATATGTGATGATAGTAATGTCTGCTAGGAATACAATTTTTTTTTCTGGACTCCATCAAATAAATGTTAACTGAATCAAGGGTATGTAGTATAATTTTCCTCAGGTGTGACTCTGTCCTTTGATGGAGTCACCCCTGAGAGCACTCCGCCCAAAGACAGAGATGCAACTGAGAAATGATAAATAATGTGTTACAAACCACTCAAGAACTATACTAATGCAGAACTGAACAATTCACATGAACATGTTCAGTTCGACATTCCAATCGCCTGAAGAAGACCAGAGCATACAACAACTGAAACATGGCAACAAAGATGAGGACAATAGTCCAAATAATGTAAAAAAGAAAATTTTGTCTCGTGTTTTTCATTTATTGATTTAAATGTGTTTACATATTTTCTTGTTGTTGTTGCTGCATATCTAAATTGCACTTTGTGGCCTTTAAGTAGAAATTATGAAATGCTTATTTATTAAGGTGACTCTAAGTAAATGAAACTGCAAAATGCTGAATTATTGATAAGTAGATTTTGGCTATTGTAATTTATGCAAAAAACTTAGGACATGAAAGCCTTTTTTTTTGTGACAGCTGATTTGATATTCAGCTAGAAGCAGATACAGTGCAGTGTATTGGCCTAAAGACAGCCGTGACGACTAATGCAGTGACACAACAGGTACAACCCACATTGGAATGATGATTGTAGTTGCTAAAACATCAGTTTGAACTGCATATAATGTTGCAACAATATCAATAATCTGTCATATTTTACCTTGCTGAAATAGCAAGTAAATGAAGTTATATCAGTTTCCGAACTGAAACATTCTGATATCACTTGAAATTCACTGTTAAAAATCTCTCACACTATCTAATGCAATTGATTTGTTGATGGCTCTAATTATCGGTGAATTAAAAAATTGGTAATCCAATTAAAAATCAGGGTTTTTCTCATAAAATTATTGCTAATTAACATCAATTGATGGTGCATAATAATCCACAACAAACTTTTTTCTTTACAAAATTATTTGACGTTTTAAAAAATTTTGAAAACATCCTTTTAGTTGAGGAACTTTTCTGCTTCAATATATTTGTTGTCTTCATCATTGTTCTGTTTAGCTTTGTAGTTTGAACAAGTTCTCATAATTGCAGCATTTTCATTTGAATAGACAAGATTGTGAAGACCATGAATAAAAAAGGATTTTGTTTACTAACAGAGTAAAGTGATGTCTTTCCATTAATTATTATTTGTTGAATTTTTTTAGATGAGGAATTATAATTATTACGCATAAATTTAATTAGACTATTATCCTCATCTTGGTTGTTTATAATCATTTGTATGTGAATTTCAAAGATGAGGAATTATCATTATGAGACATTGATTTATTTGGACTAGTATCCTCATTTTGGTTGTTTATAGTCATTCTTATGTGAATTTCAGAGATGAGGAATTATTATTATACATGAATCTATTTGGACTAGTATCCTCATCTTGGTTGTTTATAGTCATTTCTATGAGCATTTCAGAGATGAGGAATTATTATAGATTAATTTCTTTAGACTATTTTCCTCATATTGGTTGATTTCCTCATTTCTAACTGAATTTCAGAGAAACAGAATTATTATTACAGGAGGTCCTCAGGTTATGTTGGAGCCGACATACAGTATTTTGTGGTTATGGCGCCATCTCCCATAATATGATACGTTGTCATGCAGTGCTGTATGAGGAAGACGGTGTTGGTTCTTCACTGGCTTACATCATATTGAATTTTCCTATATTCGCTATCTCTTGTCTGTGTCATTTTTTGAACTTTGTGCCCTTCATAATGGCTACCAAGTGTAAAGTAGACTTGTGGGTGCTTATGTGAGTGAGTTTCAACCTACTTTGAAAATCAGGTTATGTCATGCTGTAAGAACAGATCTCTGATATATGCTGAGATTATACTGTGATTTGCTCTAGTATTGAGGTCCCTATTATGGTTGGTAACCTTTTACCCTTTATTCAGTCCTCAGCAGTAGATTGTTCTCATTTTACTGCCTATGTTAAGATATACATTTAATTTCATTTGTTCTTATGATTTCACTGGACTAACCCTTCCTCTATACTAAATCATTTAATTTTTAGTACCACTCAATGTAGTGATTAAACTTATGACTATCAGATAATTCAATCTACTTATCTAACACTTTTATCTACTTGGCTATATGTGCCATACACATTATAAAATATCATGAGATCCCACTTTCTTCATTAATATGAATTTTGGAAAATATTTTCTTTCATCTTAACTCATTTTAGTTATTTTGAGGGTGTACGGGTGATGTAATAAATAGCATCTTGGAATAAAAAATGACAGCTGTATTTAAATTGCTATCAAGTGAACTTATACACAAATACCCTCCACAAAAGTGCAAATCCATTTCCTACACCCCCCCACCGTCCTGGGTATGATGATAAACTACATCCAGGTCCTGATCAGGAGGTGTTGAGGAGCGTGGAACCATCTCTTAATTGCTGATGTTCCCAGGTCCACCCTCTCCCGGGGTGGGAGCACCTGCTACAGTCCCAGCTATATATAGTTAACCCTGAAACTGGAGTAAAAATACTATGAAAGTGTAAAAATAGGTTTTAATACCAGAAATACTTTCAAAAATTATTACCAGCAATAAATTTTGAAGAAAAAAAAGCTATTACCAGCAATACATTTTTGAATATTGCCAGAAATAGATTTTTGACAAAACAAAATATTACCAGCAATGAATATTTTGTCAGCATTAAATAACCGATTGAGGTTGATATGCCGTAAAACAAACCAAACCATCCCCCCCTTGCCAAGCTTTGTGTTAAATAGTGAGACTTGTAAGTGAAAAAAATCATTGTTTCGTAGTTTTAACCCATGAAAATTTCATGGTTTTCCTATTTGAAATTTCTGACAAATCTAAATACTTCATTTAAAGATTGAATAAACACAGTGAATTCTACAACAATAAAATATCCATAGAAATTCTTGCATTGCTTTGTTAAATATTTGACCATAGCAACTTTAACAGAATATTGCAATAACATTAAAAAATATGATGTTGGTCATTATTTTAAGAAGTAAGGGGGTATAAATGAAAAGATTAAAAATTGACAACTTTTTCCATTTCACTAAACACTTTGATCTTTCTTTCCTTTTCTCACTGAAACCAAGTAGCATCTTTGATATGTTTTGCCTTTCCACACAATCTAAGTCGAATAGTTAATTATTTATGAGGTATTAGCAGGAGCCATTAAACAATTTTATTTTTCTGTCTTTTTTTTTTTTTTACTTAAACCAAGTAGTGTTTCTGATACGTCTTCTTGTCTTTCCACATGATCAGAATGGAGTAGTCCATTATTTTTGAGGTATTGACAGGATTGTAAGGGTCGTGCAAACTAATGAAAAGAGAAAGAATCACCATTATAATAGGATTCTTAGAAAAATTGCTAATCCAATATTCACTTGCAAAAAAAAGAATTATTCTTACAATCCAAAATCTGGCTGTTCAGTCAACAAGGAAGTACCTGACATAACTATTACCATACACATTTAAAATTCTAGGAATCAACTTTTAGTTGGTAAGTCATTTTAGTGAGCATAGAAAAAAATTATACGTCTAATAACTTATAATTCTGTACTAATCTGCCTTGAATTACACTTTAAGTATTCATCCATCTTTTAAGCTGATTAAGCTTTATTCTAAGTATATTCGTAGTCATTTTGTCATAATAATGATGTGGTCAGTTTTCTAATGGGAAAATTTATTTTCTAACCTTTTATAAGAAGTATTTTTTAATCTTTTTCAGTGATAAGAGAACCATGAGTAAAATCAGGAAAAAAAGAGTAGAATTTAAAAGTTTAGAAAAAAAAAAAAAGATGTTTTCTTTTTGTTCTAAGTCTCTCTAATCTTTTCTCTCTCAGAAATAAATGGTACGTCATTTTCTGCCAAAAAAAAAAATGAGAGCAAAAAAGAACTCTGCTTAAAAGAGATTAACTCCTAACTTATACTGGCTGCATCTTAATTGATGTTAAATCAAGCTGTCGTTCTGCCTGTAAATGCAATTATACAAGGGGTGCTGCAAAGTTCTCAGTATAACCAACTTCACAAATCACAGAATATTTCTTGAAAAGTTTCTTGTTCAGGCAGGGAACTTTTCAGCACCCCTTCATGATCTGATTTGGAAAAAAAAAACCAATGACTGGTACAAGGGTTGGCAGGAAAGTTAATAGTCTGACCAAGATATAAATGTATAAATATGCTAGTTAGTACACTAAATGTCATGCAAGTATACTAAAAATACAACATAGATAAATGATGCTCACTCTCTCTCTCTATCTATCTCTCTCTATATATATATATATATATTGAGAGAGAGATAGAAATAAAGAAATGAGATAGAGAGAGAGAGATAGAAATAAAGAAATTAGAGAGAGAGAGATAGAAATAAAGAAATCAGATAGAGAGAGAGAGAGATAGAAATAAAGAAATCAGATAGAGAGAGAGAGAGATAGAAATAAAGAAATGAGAGAGAGATAGAGAGAGAGATAGAAATAAAGAAATGAGAGAGAGATAGAGAATAGATAAATAAAAGAAATGAGAGAAATAAAAAATGAGAGAGATAGAAAAAAGAAATGGGAGAGAAATAGAGAGAGAGATAGAAATAAAGAAATGAGAGAGAGATAGAGAGAGAGATAGAAATAAAGAAATGAGAGAGAGAGAGAGAGAGAGATAGAAATAAAGAAATGAGAGAGAAATAAAGAAATGAGAGAGATAGAAATAAAGAAATGAGAGAGAGATAGAGAGAGAGATAGAAATAAAGAAATGAGAGAGAGATAGAGAGAGAGATAGAAATAAAGAAATGAGAGAGAAATAAAGAAATGAGATAGAAATAAAGAAATGAGAGAGAAATAAAGAAATGAGAGAGATAGAAATAAAGAAATGAGAGAGAGATAGAGAGAGAGATAGAAATAAAGAAATGAGAGAGAGATAGAGAGATAGAAATAAAGAAATGAGAGAGAAATAAAGAAATGAGAGAGAGAGATAGAAATAAAGAAATGAGAAAGAGAGAGAGAAAGAAATAAGAGAGAGAGGAAGAAATGAGAGTGAGAAATAAAGAAATGAAAGATAGAGGACAAAATGGGAGGGAGAAAAACAAATGAGAAAGAGAAAGAAACAAAGAAATAAGAGAGAGAGAGAGAAAGAAATGTGAGAGTGAAAAAAGACAGAGAGAAATCCTCTATATGTACACACGAGATGAAAAAGGATGGTTGCCATAATGCTTACCCTAATCTCACCCATAACCACAGCAGCTGCACTGCATGTAATATTCCAAATAAACTCACAATGATTTAAGAGATTAAAGTATATATATATATATATATATATATATATATATATGTTTCTCCCTTAAATCCCACCACCCAATATAGGGAGAAATTATTTATGAGTATTACATTAAATACTTTCATAAGAAAGATTGAATGTCATACCAAACTCCAGCAAGAAAGATTTTGATGTTTAAATGATGACTTACTACTAGTGTTAAAAACCTTTTCCTTTTACATCAAGGTATAGTTTGCATTTTCAGGAGATTGGGTTGCAGACATCAGTTAATGTAATACTTAAAATTCGGCAAAAGTTATTATCTGATATTGACCTTGGTTGTATATAATTTTCATAAGAAAAGATGAAATATTAAAGATGTTAAATGGGATATATATTTAGCTGATTCTTCTTCTGTGGGCCATGTCTCTTCAGGACATAAGTGATGAAGGCTCCCCACGCCATCCTATCCATTGTGGCCTTCAGCTTCATTTCTTTCTTTCTCAGTCTTTTTGAATCCCTGTTCTGTCATCCATTCACACAAAGGTAGGTGTTCCACTGCCTTCACCCTCATCATTCTTGCTCTCATTCTTCCCTGTGAGGGTCAAGTTTTCTAGCCCCCTGCTACCTCTATGTTTTTTTTTCTGATTCTGTGTATAAGTGTTCTTTCTGTTACCATTTTCTTTAAGACTTACTTGTTGCTGACTCACTTCCTTCCTTGTACACTCCGGCCTTCTTCAGTTGGTTGGAATGTTGAACTGAAACCTTTATTTCGCTTGCTGGGGTAGTGTTATAGTGGAACACACCTATTCTATGGTTAATAGACTCTCCCACCTATAATAAGTAGGAGTAGTAGGAGTCGCTCAGGGAGTTGGTCACTCAGTCGATGTCAGACAACCGTTAGTTGGATATTAAAGTATCAGCCACCCCAACTAGATTACTGCATCATTACATATTATATCAAGTTCCTAACGTTTTGTACGTTGAACCTATTTTAGGACCGACTTAGTACAAATACAAGCCTCCACTGTGAAACCACTCTACAACAGGTAGACTGTTCTAGCTCCATGTGCCATGTCTTAAGAACATATGGTGCAGTGGATAAAGGCGTTGGTTAGATTCAGTGACAGGACCCAAAGAGTTGTGAGTTCAATAACAGCAATACATTTTTGAAAACAAAATATATTACCAGCTGTACATTTTTGAAAAAGAAAATATTACCTGCTATACGCTATTTACGCTGGGGTAGACTGTTCTATTTCCACATGCCATGTCTAATGGATGTCAGTTATCAGTTAATTCACCTCTCCAAGTTCTCCAATGCCTTAACCAGGTATTGAACTCACAACTCTTTGACAATTTCCTTAAGACTTACCTGTTGCTGACTCACTTATATTATATTTTTTTCTTTTTTTTTATTCTGTGACCTCTAGGGTTGTAGAAGCATCATGTCTACTGCATCCACAGTAGAAGTGCTGTTTCTTGGGCAAGATAGCCTTACGGAGACCAACTCTCTTCAGGCCGGTTTTGAATTCAGTTTTTCTTTTTCCTAGATCGGTTGCCACCCAAGGTTATAGAACCCAGTCTCTCCTACTATTTACCCATAGCTGGAGGGAGAAGAAGAGGATACATAACCTTTCCCAAGGATATTAGCACATCAGTGAATGTAATGGATCCGACTGATATTTGAACTCTGCTCTTCAATTCCTCAGTCTGAGCCACTATCCATTACTCCACCATGCCCCTTTTTGTAGCTGCCTCTTTTTCTCATTTCTTGCTTTAAAAATATTTCATTTAATCACATAGCACAATGGAAATGAGGAGGTACTGAAGAATCTCTGATATAATTGATCTTTTGAAGCATGGGTGTGTCCCTTTTTATGTGTGCTTGCATGGGTGACACACCCTGCACATCAAATAAAGTTTTTTTGAAGTTGTTTGCTCTTTTTTGATATTTTATTTTTAAATTCTTAAAATGAGTGGTAATTTTTTTTAGCAAAAGTTTTCTACAAAGGATAACATAATTATTTTTTCTCCAATTCTTTGATCTTGTGCCAAACTTGGAAAATACACCTAGCTCTTAATCGTTTTTGTCTTTTTGTTATATCTGTGGAACAAAGATAGAAATAAACGACAAGACAATCAAATAACAAATGACAAAAAAGTTTCTGAGTCAGAAGATTCACACAACCACCTGGCTAATTGTTCTAATGTAGGGAAGGTTACTGAGTAGAATAATCAAACAATGGTTGGTAATGAATGATAATACTTAGGACAAGAACAATGCATATAAGATTCACCAGCAGCACATAGAAGTAGTCAACTGAATTCCACAATGAATCTCCAACTGCAGACCAACATACAGTATTTACTACTGTATTTATGTGAATGGGGACATACCCATTATTGGCTGTAGCTATGCTACATCACTAATATTACCTGAAAATAAATATTTAACCTTTTATAATCAACAGGTCACATTCCTGTTGACAATAATAAAATATGATTTTTGATCCCTTTTGAACGGTATTTAAGTACTGTCTGTAGATGAACAAAACCAGTAAGGAGATAGAAATGAATACATGCAACATCAGTTCACAACGGCAGCTTAAAAGAAATTCCCTTAACCATTCACTTGTCTTCTTCACCAAGCTACGTGACACTTACACTTTCCTTCTCACCTTCTCCCTTGCCTTTTTTTTTTACACATACATGCAAAAAATTATATTTCTTTTCATCTTACCAAACAATTACAAACAAGGAACTTTAACTCTCATTCCACAGTGAAAAAAGTTTACTTGTAAAAACACAAAAATAAAAATATTTCATATTTAAAAACCTTTTTCGCCTTTTTCTTTGTTGTGGGTTGATTCAAATCTGCAACAGATCTCCTAAACATTGTTCTGTTAACCATTTACTCAAGTTGGCTCAGTAGGCTATGCATTGTTTTATTCTGACACCTGTTGCTGGCAATCTGTCCTGTGAGTATCAAATTATCCAAGCCCTCTTTCTTCATCCTATAAATTTCAACAACTCTCTCTTTCTAGTGTCAAGTATCTTTTAGCTTTTTTTTTTCACTAAAACTTCATTGTTACTCACATGTTTTAATTGATTCCCTACAAGAAGCTTTTTATAAAACTCAATCTGTAGGATGTCTAATTATAGAAAAGATTTTTTTTTAAATTTTACAAGTAACACTAAATCAATGTAATATTATTAATCTTTTAACTAATTTCCCAAAAGTAGCTTTCATCAAAGCCAAGCTAAGTTTAAATGTATGACTTATGACATCACATTGAAACACAGGTTCCCATATGATTACCAAAGTTAAGCTACGTTGACCCTGGACAATGACTCTATGGGTGACTTCTTGGGAATACCAGGTGCTGTAAGCTTAGATGTGCAAATGATGTAATTTTACAATAGCTTGGAATTGTTAATCAATATGCCAAGTTCCAATTCCATTTGGATTCCTTTTATTCACTTACAAGCAAATAGTCTTGAGAAAGGTTTCGGATTTTTATCACTGAATTATTATCTCCAAAAAAAAAACTTGTTTACAATCTAAGAATATTTTCTTGTTTTTAAATAAACTGCTTTTTTGATAATTCTGTACAAAATGAATCAATCAATCAATGAAATACTGATTAGCTACACAGGCATCTTTTTTAGATTTATTTACATTCTCTGGGATATAAATGTATAGAAACTACCGTGATCACAAAGTGAGGGATCAGTTTATATATTGAAACTAATACAGAATTGATCCAAACTTAAATATCCACATTATAATTTTTGTTTATCAAATTCTGATTAGGTATGAATAAACTTTACCAATTTTCTCTCCCCAACTATGGGTTAATTAGTAAGACTTGTATCACTAAATTCTTACAATCTAAAAATATTTTCTGGTTTTAAATAACCTTCAATGTTTTGATAAGCAGTAAAAAATGAATCAAAATTTAATTGTATAAAAGAGATTTTTGGACACTGAAATGGTTTTCTTCGGTTATCAGTAAAATCATTTGCCAAATGCAGACTCTCTCACCATTGCATCTCAGTGTCTCATTTGAAAAATAAAAACACATATTACCCAATTAAATGCTACCTTTAAAAAGGTCGAGACACTTTTAATCTTCGCTTTCAAAAGATTATGTAAAAATGATAATAATAATAATATAAAAATATGAGAAATATTAAAATGTCTGCTCTCTATTGCTTCAATTAAGGAAATCACTGCAAATATGATGCAGTCATTGTATAAAAGTAATAAATGTAGTAACTGACATCTTTTTTATAAGCATGTAGTGGTAAGTTCGTTGTAATTACTATTCATGAATTAGTTTTTTTTCAGAATGGCATTTCTGAAAGGGGCATATAAGTTCATAAATAATATTGGTCTTCTCATGCCTATATATTTATATAAATAAAAAAAAAAAAAATCGATTCTCTCTTCGGGTTCGACGTATGAGGGTCAAACAGATATTTTTTCAGGAAACTGACAGCCCGAAACCTTAACATGAATTTGATTATAGTGGTGAATTTTTTCAGATGCAGTTTTAAATCCACACTTTTGAAGGGGCCGAATACAGAGACCTGGTGCACTATGTGCCACAAAAAAAAAAAAAACAACCCCCTCAGGTTTTCAATTCAAAGTTGTCCTTCTCCTAGGCCAGTTACCATCCAAGGCTATAGAACCCAGTCTGTCCATTTTTTATATATATATATATATATATATATATATATATATATAAAAATTACAAATTAAATTTCAGGCATACAGTAAGTTTCATGCTTTTAAGCAATTGTCAGGTGATTGGTAGCTGTAGTGCAAAAATGGGAACCTTTATTCCCCCAGACAAGATTGAGATGGAAAAAAAAAAATAGATATGGTGTGTGCATGCACACCATGCAAATATAATAATAAACTTACCTGGAGGTGGGTAAAGCAC